GTCATCTCCATTTTACAGAAGAGGAAAATGAGGTAAACAGAGGTTAAGTGATGTCTGGATTACACAGGTATTAAGTGTCTGAGGTCGGTTTTCCTGATTCTGGGCCCATGGCTCTCTCCACCGTGTCAGAATCTTTTGAAAAGGGGGCTGTGCTTGTGGTTTCAGTAGACAATAATAAATGCAGATTTGGGACCATTACTCACCCTCACTTCTACAGGTAGACATTCATACATAAGCAGCATCTCAAATGGTGAGATAGATCAGAGTAGTCAAAATAAGGCACTGGCTAAGGAAAAGGTCACCAGGACACTTGTCCAAGGCTTTCACACAAGTAGTGAATAACAAAGAAGATGCACAGATTTTTAGAGAGAGAAGAGTCCTAAAAAATGACCTAGTTCAAATACCTAATCTGATCATTTCTTTTGCCCTTCACTTTCCTTCCTTTCCTCTTTTTCTTCCCCTATTTCCTTCCTTCCACTGTCTCTTCCATTCCTTCTTCCCTTCTTTCTCCCTCCCCTAATCTAACCTCTATTTCCCTGTCCTCCTTTCCTTCCTTCTTTCCCATTCAGACCCTCTCGCCTTCCTTGTACAAGGACAGAAGGTGTCAGTCTGCATTAGTAAAGAAAATTTCCTCATCAGGACCAGTCTACACTATTTAAATTACAGGTCTGATCCCACCTCCTCTCATCTTCCCCCCTCCCCCCCACCTTAACACTAGTGGCTTATCCCTAGGGCAAAACTGTAAATTCTGTTGGTGGTGGGTAGGATGTCTGTCTCTTTCTTCTTTCCCTCTAGAACATGAGATTTCTCAGTGAAAATGACCACTTATTTTATACCACTGGTTTACTAGAATGTTTAGCATTTTGCCCAATATGTACATCGACTTTTTTTAACCCTTTCAAGTTGTATAAACTTTTTTGAGAGTGTTCAAAAATTATATAGGAAAAATTTGAGTGAAACACAATTTTTGTCAGAGTGGTTCATGTGCCTATGTATGCACACACATCTACTTTTTTCTCTCTTTTTGTGTGTCTGTCTGTCTGTCTCTCTTTTCTTTTTTCTTTCTCTGCCCATAGAAGCAGGAGAGTACTGTATCCCCTGTCACAGCCAAGCAAAAAGAGAAAAATCGGAATTCTAGCCCTGTCTGTAAAGTAAAAGGGACAAATTAGTTTCTTGTCAGGGTACTGCAATAAATACATTGTCATTTTTATCCCCCAGTGAATCATAGTCTCCATTTTCCCCGTAACTATTATACAGTCTGCTGGCACTATATCATTTTTTGGTAATTTTATTTTCACCAATTGTTTTATGAAATTTTTGAGTTTTATGGACACTAAAACAAATCTCGGCTGCGAGTGTTATAGCCCTTTAAATCATCAGCAGGGAATCTCAAGGTTCCTCCAGACTGTGGGAGAAGGAGGCTTTAGGAAAGAAAGATTGCCCCTCGCTTATAAACTGAGCAAAAACCCAGAGATAAGTTTGTAAAAGGGACATAGATCATGGTGGGTGAAAACTGGGGTGTAAAACATTCCTCTGCTCAGCTCCTGGAAGAATAAAAATGGACTTTTATTTAGCCAAAGCACTAAAGTAGTTGGGAAAAGGAACACACAAGTGTTTCTCTGCTTTCTTAACCATAACAATCCCTATTTCCTGTGAGCCAAACATCACTTGGGCTGAGCTGGCCTGGGTTGGGGTGGGGGCGGGAGTGAAGCTTGGCTACAAAGTCTGTAGGAATGCTCTAACGCTATTTCTCTAATAGGAGGGAAACCAAGCTAGAGGAATTCTGGAGAAAACCAGTCTTTGGGGATTTGTGTGTCCTGTGTTCCTCCTTGACTTCTGAGACAGGTACTGCCAGATATCTGGGTGGCGGACAGTGAAAGACTGTAGTTAAGAATCTACAAGTTTGATCTGCATGATGCTGGACCCCTGGGTCCTTGGGACTATCAGGTTACTGACAGGATTGTGCACTCTTGTCCAGGGGACATATATACCTGGAAAAAAAAAAGGTGGTGGGAGAATGAGAAAGAGCAGCAACAGATATGTAGTTTGACTGGCATGTTAGTGCCCCTGAATGAATGCGTTAAGTTCATCCTTCATTGAGGATTTATGGGAAACCATGGACAAAATTACAAAAACTCCAAACAAGAAAACATACAGGGAAGACCTACATTAAGGGTATGCCCAACCCCCACCTTGCTTTCTCCTTTGCCCAGTCCCTTGACCCAGGTCTGCCCATATTGCCATGGGGCAGTCAGTCAGGCAGGAACCAGACATGACTGGTTGGTTACATTGCTTAGACGAGATAAAAGTCACCAACTCTAACCCCTCTATTTGAGGACCATCGGATCTTATCATGTACCTTGCCACTGAATCCTAAGGTCCTCTGGACTTTACAATATGCTTTCTCTGTATGTCCTCTAGACCCCAAGGTCTAATTTTACTGATGTGCCCTAGGGATGTCCCGGCTTTGCCCTCCACCCTATTGCTGAATGCTTAGGACTTTGGAGATGTTCCACCCGCCTTGCAGCTGAACTCTCTTTTATGTGATCTCATGGTATCGGTGTTACCATTGTACACTAATGAGTCCTCAGCAAGAACTGATGGCCACTGCTCTGGCATCTCTGGATAATATTGGCCATCCATTCTTGTTGCAGCATTAAACTTTCTTGGTTTGCTCCTACCTCCTTGATTCTTGGCTTGTTAGATACCTTTTAAAATGTCCAATTTGGCAAAACAAGACCTGTGGAGAATGAATGAATTCCATCTAAATGCTCTGCTAAAGCTCTGGGACTAGGCTACCAGGTACCAGGTGATGGTCACTTATGGGTTTAAAAAAAAAAAGCTAGGGGCAGCTAGGTGGTGCAGTAGATAGAGCACCGGCCCTGGATTCAGGAAGATCTGAGTTCAAATGTGACCTCAGACACATAACACTTACTAACTGTGTGACCCTGGGCAAGTTACTTAACCCAATGCCTAGCCAAAAAAAAAAAAGCTATAGTATTTAGGCTTTCTCCTCAGCTGTGGGTAACTGAAAGAAATGGGTACAGTATTCAATCTGCCTTGGGCTGATTGGAATAGCCAAAAATTCTGGCAATGAAGTGAAGGGAACGGGATGGAGGTGGGGAATGGGATATACACTAACATGTGGGAGACGGAGTCATGCAGTCTTGGGATAGACTTTGGACAAGACAAAGCAGAATGGCAATTGGGTTCAAATCCCAGCTATACCACTAACTACTCATGTGACCTTAGGCAAGCCACATAATCATTCTGGGCCTTATTTTTCTCTTCTGCAAAGTGAAAGGATGGGATTAGATGACCTCTAAGGTCCCTCTTGGTTCTAAATCTAAGATCCTGTGGCTGGAGTCATCAGTTACAAGAGCAAGAAGAGCTCTAGGGGATGTTTTGCTCCAAGAGAGATTACAGGTTTTCTGAGGTCCTTTGAGCTCTAAATTTAGCTTTTATGGATCCTTCTTCTACCTTTTCTGTCTGTGTACTTATAAAGTTTCATTGCTATTATTAAAAAAATAGCCATTGTCTAATTCTGCCCTCTTTTCTTCCCGTGTGTCTTTTTTTTTTTTAAATACCTGTTTCTGAAGAAAAGACCACATTCTTAAGAAGATCACAGACTTCAGAAATGGAAGGAAACTTTTAGGCTCTTTAAACTCCCAAATCCATGGCTCTTTTTCCTACACCATGCCACCTTTCCAATGGAATAGCTGGGAGGGGAAACCTTGTTTATTTGCATTTGTTGGGAGGGAAGAGAGGGGAAATGGACAAAGATAATTAGTTCAGTTTCAGAAACATTAAGTTTTAAAGTGATGTTAAGATGTCAGTAAGGAAATGAATTTCAGGGGAGAGGTAGAGAATCACAGAATTACAAGAATTTCAGAGTTGGAAGGAACCTTAGCCACCCACCATCTAGTCCAACTCAAACTTCTCAAAGAATGAGGTATTCTCCAAGCTGTCATTCAGCCTTTGCTAGAAGAGCATAGTAATGGCTGAAGCCATAAGAATGGATAAGTGAGCTTTCCTTAAGAGTGTTAAAAGAAATCAAAGAAACAGAAACAGAGCCTTAAATAAAACCTGAGCTTCTTAAGCGGTGAGACCACTTCTCTTTCTTTGTAACTTCTTTTCCCTGCCCTTCAACTACCACAATGAAAGTTCTAAGGTGGGATCAATACCTTCCAAGAACCCTAAGAAATCATATCTCGGTGGGGGAAGGGGGTTGCAGCCACCAGCTTGGACCTGAATTCCTCCTTTGTTGGAGTATTGTCTCCTTGGGGTATAAACAAGGTGACTGATATTTCCTGGGAAAGGGACCTGACAAAACTCACTCATTTAATTTTCTACAAAAATAGAGTTCTTTAGTGATTTATTTATATGAATGCTTATGTCAGGGTATTATGTCTATTGGGAGGCTTATCTGCTGCCTGGAAGGACTAAGCAGGTCACTTGGCTGCTGCACTGTCCCCTTAGAGGGTGTTAGAAATAACCTCTGGTGCCCTAACAGTAAGTTAGATAGACTCAGGAGGAGTGAAGCAGTTGAAATCTTTAATATGCTTCCTGCAGGAAGCGGGTGTGGAACTCCAGACAAGCACACGCATACTACAGAAGCAAGAGCAAACCTTATAACCTTATTGCTGGCTGCAAGTCCCTCCTAGCTGACTTTCATGGGTAGAAGTCAGCACAGGTCATAGACTTCCTGAAACACTCACCACAAGCCCTTTGGTATGTTACCCCCTTCATACATTGTATGTTCAGAAAATGGCATCCTGCCCTAAGGTGGAGAAGCTAGTATTCATGAGCATATTAAGCATTCACACTCTAAGTAAAGTTTAACCTTTGTCCTACTTACAGCCTCCCCAACCACACTACCAGTTTCACCCCATTTTATCTGGTTCTTGAAGCTCCTCACGCGGAGCTACTTTCCTCTCAATTTCCTTCTACGGAAATATAACTGTTCCTTACTTCTCACAGGGGTATGGTCTTTGCTGGATGAGTCACTCTTCTGGATTTCCTTATCTCACTTTTCAGTGTGCAGCCATAGTCTCCATTACCTTTAGCCCCTGGCTTGGCTGGGTGCAATTGTACTTTTCCAGCTGAGCTGTTATAATGTTCTTCTCCTGGGAAGTGATGCTGTATTCTCTCAGGAAGAGCAGAGATTCCTAGACTAGTGTAGGAAGAAGTCAATTCAGTTACACTTCCTCAAGGCTTAGTTTATGAAATTTCTCAGCTACAAAGTAAAGGGATGTAAAAGGTATAGCTTTTATTCAACGATCCTTTTTGGATTAGAGCTGGGTTTCCTCAGTCAGGGATTCCATCCTAACTTATGGTGACTATCCAGATATATAGTTCCCAGATTCCTGTTTGGCTTTATGCAAATGAGTGGCTGGAACAGACAGTGAGACAGTATGTTCTCCCGAGTAGATCAATTGTCTCCGTCGGCCTTTTCACGTTCTATTAGGTTCCTCAAAGGCTTAAAATCCCTTCCAAGACGGAGAATGCTTCGTTCACACCTGAAAGAGCCTTACCTTACTGTATCACTGTCTCTGTCTTTACCTTTTGTGACCTTTAACTTTGCCGAAGTCTAAGTGAGGGGGGCACAAGCTTAAAAGGTCAGCTCCTGGAAGAAAGTTGCTTGGGTGTTTTTATAGGGGGTGCTGTAGTTGGTCTCTCACCCCTGAGTTCATGAACAGGGACCCTTCAAATATCAGGGAAAATTGAGGTTTTTTTCTTCTAATCAATTAATTTATTTATTTGTAGTTTTCAACATTCACTTCCACAAGATTTTGAGTTCCAAATTTTCTTCCCATCTCTCCCCCCCATCCCAAAATGGCTTGCATTCTGAATATCCCTTCCCCTAATCTGCCCTCCCTTCTAACACAGGGCCCTCTCATCCCCTTCCCCTTTGAAAACTGAAGTTTCTAACCAGGAATGTTTCAAGTATAGAAACTTCCAGATATGGGGGTTCTGCAGAGAAGGAGCATGGCATAAGTGGGGCACTTAGTAGAAGGAGGATGCATGATTAGGGAATAGTCAGCCAGCTTGAGAAAGGCTGCACTAGAAAAAAAAAGAGGTCTTTACTAACTACAACAACTTGGGTACAAGAAATATACTAAAAGATAGCAACAGGCTCATCAATAACTAGAGGTGGGCAATGGTGTGGGGTAACAAATCGACAGCCCAAGCGTTGCAATGAACTCCACTAAATGTTAAAAGAAACTGAGGAAGTCTTCTAGGACATCAAATAGAACCTCAATGGAGAATTTACAGAAAGAATAAATTAGTCACATACAATGAAAAGGCATAGACGGGCTAGGATTTGAATTGCTGAGGCAGTACTTACACCAGTGAGATCATGGATCTGAAGAGGTCTAGAGGTTTGGGGTGCTGCAACCCCAAGGTCATGATGAGGCCCTACCTGAATGAATTCAACTCCAATCTTTTTCTAGTCAGAGAAAAGGTTTATTAGAGATAAATCATATAGGCTAGGTGAAAAGGCGTGAGAAAAGCTCAGCCTTTTGGGCATGAGAGATTCTCAGCTTTGAATGCAGGCCAGGGTGGATCTTATATAAGCTAAAGTAACTTTGGGTGGCCAGAGGAGGGGGCTGGGAAAAGGGTCTAGGTAAGAATTCCTGTTGGAAGGTCTGAGAGATTGAATAGACAATGGGAATAGGTAATGAAGGAAACTGGAAGGGAGAAGTTTGAAAGGCATCTGCATAAGATCAAAAGGTGGGGCTAGGGCTTTCAAAGGGAGATAAGGGGAGTCAATAAGGAAGGGTCTGAGACCAGAGAAAAGTTTAAGGGCTTTCTGGTGCTCATAAACAAAAGGGAGCAAAATTCTTTTTGGAGCACAGGGCAAAGGTCTCGGCTTGGGTCCACCCCCCATTAGATTCAGTAAAATATGAAAAAAGCTTAATTTCTATTCATACAAATATACATACAGATACATACTATCTCTACCACTTCTTGAGAGAGATCCATAATTCTAAGAGACCTCTCCTTCTAAGATTCTAGGACCTGTTTCCCATTCCCTTTAGGGTTGCATACATCTTCCCCAGATATCAATGGGTCCTATTGCTTCTTTTGGGTGGTTTCTTTCCTCATCCAAGGCTGCAGAAACACTTAGCTTCTGTTGCATTCCATAACTCCCTCTTTTAAATCATTTGAATCACTCTTTCTAATTACAGCATGAAGAAAGAGCAGACATCTTTTATTAAACACCTGATTAGTTTAATCAAAGAAAGCTTGCCTACAAATTGGGCAATACATGATTTTTAAAAGATTCTTCACCTCCTCCTCGAGCCCTTCCCTCCCCCTTATTGCCCCCAGCTCCTTGTTACTGATTCAGGGTGTGTATCTCTAGATTCAATTTGTTTACCTGGAATTACCTACTGGTTCATTTTTTTAAAAAATTCATTAAAAATCATTTTATAACTGTTGGGTTGAATCTGAACAATGGATATGATAATTGTATGCTCTGTACAGCGCTGGAAAAGGAGCTAGGGGAAGGAGGCTTTTGACTTGCCCTAGGTTATTTTTCGTAGGAGTAGAGTGCTGGAAAGGTTTTTTCTGTATTTGATTCCTCTCTCTAGGATCAGCCTTCAGCAGTCAATGTGTAGGGGCAGAGCTGTTGGAGAGCAGAGTGCCTTAAACTCTACGGCAAGCCCCAGGAGTGAATATTTCTGTTGAAGTGTAGATGTTAGGGGTGCTGGGACTCCAAAATCATGACGTGGGTCCTGCTTGAATAAATTCACCCTAAGTCTTCTTTCAGCCAAAGACAAGGTTTTATTAGAGATGAACCATATAGGCCAGACCCTTAAGGAATCTGAACATTATTGACCCCCATAAAGACGAGTGGGCATGAGGAAATCTCAGCATTTAAATGGGGATCAGGACGGATCTTATATACAGCCAATTAATTTGGGGTGACTGGAGTTCAGAGAGAATCCCATTGGGAGTGTCTGGGAGGTTAAATAGGGTCATCCAGGAACAGACAATGGAGGGCTAGGCTCCTTCTGGGTAACAAAGAACTGGAAGGTAGGGAAGGAAAAGGTTGAATGGAGTCTGGATAAGATCAAAGATGGGGAATATACTAGGCTTCCTTAGAGTATCAAAGACTAGGCTTCACTGGGATCTCAAAGGGAGATAGGGCCTAGATGATAAGGGAGAGCAGGTCCATCAGGATGAGCATAAGAGATAAGGAAAGGCCTTTGAGTAGATGACCCAAATTCTTTTTGAGGTAAGGGGCAAATGTCTCAGCTTGGGCCATATCCCATCATTTCTACCCTCCGAGGATCAAATGAGATATTATTTGTAAAGAGCTTTGTAAACCTTAAAGGGCTATACAAATGCTTTGTTGTTCAGTATTTCAGTTGTATCTGACTCTTTGTGGCCCCATTTGGGGTTTTCTTGGCAAAGAGCTGTTTGCTATTTCCTTCTCCGGCTCACTTCACAGATGAGGAAAGGGGTGGGGGGAAACAGGGGTAAGTGACTTGCCCAGGGTCACGTAGCTAGTAAGTGTCTGAGGCCAGATTTGAACTTGAGAAGATGAGTCTTGCTGACTCTAGAGCTGGCACTCTATCTGCTATGCTACCTAGCTACCTATATAAATGCTAGCTCTTGAATGGGATGTCCCAGTGAAGACTTCTCAGTGTAATTAAGGTAATGAGTTCAGAGAAATGAACTCTCAGAAGTGAAGGTTCCTCAAAGGGTCAAGTAATTCTTGATTACTACTTTCAAAATCCTTCCCCACTCAGACCCTGTTTTTAAGCCCCCACCCCCAACCTGAGCCGTTTGTCCTTGGCTTTGAATTTCTCGCCTGGAATGTAAGCCCCACCTCCCGGTTAAGGGGATAGGAAGAAACTTTCAAGCTTAGAATGTAAGCCCACCCCCAGTTAAGGAGGTAAGGGATAGTGGTGGGTGGAGACTTGTTTTCATGGTGGGCGGAGATTTGCTTTTATAAGGCGGCCCCTGTTAGGTGGTCTCTTTCTCTCTCCCTCTCCCTCCTCCCCTCTCCCTCTCTCTCTCTCTCCCTCCCTCCCTCTCCCTCTCTCCCTCTCCCTCTCTCCACGTGTATCGGAGGAGCAGACAGCCATCTCGCCAGATTGTAATAAAGGTAACCTTTGCTTTCCACTTTGAGAAGTCTCTGAGTTTAATTTGGGTTGGGGTGGCTGTCCCACACACTCTTATTACTATAATACATATATATAACAAGCACAATAGTTAGCATTTATACAGTCTTTAAAAGTTTGCAAACCGCTTTCCGTGTCTCATTTGATCCTGTGAAGTAGATATTATTACTCCCATTTTACAGATGAGGTAGGTGAGTCCAAGAAAAATTAAGTGACTTGCTCAGGTCACACAGCTAATTTAGTGTCTAAGGTAGGATACAAATTCAGGTCTTCCTTACTGAGAGCCACACAAGATGTAGAATCATAGAATGAAAAACTATTCCTATTACTCATTAAAATGTAAGCATTCTAACTCCCTGTAGCCTTGTGCATAGCATAAGTATGGTGAATAGAGTGTGAATGGTTCAGTGGAAGCTTCAGGTTGATGATGACAACTAGCTGCATAAATTGACATCTTTGATTCTAATCAAAGTCCATGAACACTGTTCTTTATGGATTAATATAAAATTATGGGTCTAGGAAGTAATGTAGTGTACTACAAAAAACACTAGGAGCAGTATCAGGAAACCTGGGTTTGAATTCTGGCTTTGACATTAACTTTGTGGAGGTCTTACTATGGCTCCTCCTTCCCTCTCCCCCGCAAAACTCACTGGCTCCCTATTACCTCCAGAATCAAATATAGTCTTCCAGTTGGTATTTAAGGCTCCCCAGACCTATTTCCCTTCTGACTTTGCAGTCTTCTCACACTTTACTCCTAACCAGCCACTCTACAGTGACTCCCTGTTCCTTCCACTAAACACTTCAGGTTCCTTCTCTGTGCTCTGTGCCTTTGTACTGGCTGTCTGCCATGTCTAGAATGTGTACCTTCTCTCCTCTATCTTGGTATCATTGGCTTCCTTCAATACTCAACCCCAAAGCCACCTTCTAGAAGAGGCCTTTCCAGTCCTCTCCTCCCCACCAATTCTTCCTTTTTACAATCAGTGTCCTCTACTCTGTATCTTGCATGTACCTGTTTATTTATATTATCTCTCCTGAT